CATGGATGAATCTGGAGAACATCATTCTCAGCAAACTGACACAAGAACAGAAAATGAAACACCGCATATTCTCACTCATAGGCAGGTGATGAAAAATGAGAACACATGGACACAGAGAGGGGAGTACTAAACACTGGGGTCTATTGGGGGGAAAAGGGGAGGGCCAGTGGGAGGGGGAGGTGGGGAGGGATAGCCTGGGGAGAAATGCCAAATGTGGGTGAAGGGGAGAAAGCAAACAAAACACATTGCCATGTGTGTACCTATGCAACTGTATTGCATGCTCTGCACATGTACCCCAAAACCTAAAATGCAATAAATAAATAAATAAATAAATATAAATAATAAAAATTGAAAATAAATAAATAAATATGAAAGTTGTCAAAACATATTTTTCATTCCCCCTTTCTCCCATAGTTATTCAAGGACGGGTTACACCAGTACAAAGGAGTGGACCAAGATCTAATAACCAGGAAAATGGTGTAGGGGAGGGAAAGAGCAGCCCCAAAATCATGGGGAAGAGACAGCTGTGTGCCAGCCGGGGGAGGCAGCGCATCCACACAGGGCAACAACAGGCTGCAGGAGTGACTTTCAGGAAGATGCTCAATGAGGTACTTGCTGAGAAAACAAAACAAAACAAAACTTAGGCCTGCTGGTTCCAAAACATGTGCTTTTGTTTGCTTGTTTTTCTTGTTCTGGCTTTAAATTTATTACACCACTGCCCCTCCAAGAAAAGGCTATCAATTAGTCCCTTCCAACAATGCATGAGAATGACCTTTTCCCTACTTCTCCAGGACAGAATATAATTATTATTTATTTTAATCTCTTTTGAACTGTTAAAAAGATAAACTGAGGCATAGTAAGATTTTTTTTTAAAGAGTCCTGGTGGCTTTGTTTTTGTTTTTTCTTTAGCATCAATAATTTATGAACTGAACAGCTCCAGACCAGAAGTAGGTTGGGAGCTCCACTGAGGAACACAAAGAAGAGACTTTTATAAGACAGACACAGAAATAGAGCAAAGTATTTAGTTGGTTACAGTTATACAATTGCCTTTTTTGGTCTATCAGGTCGGAAAGGCCCTCGCCGTTGTATAAGTTTATATAAGTAGTCACTTATGATTGGCTGAGCTTAAGTTCTATTTTTTTTTAATATAGACATTCACAAGAAATATCGCAAGTTAAGTCTGTTTATATTTGCAAATCAAGCAAGGTTTAGGTCACTTATGACTCGTAACTGTTTTTGTCCCCTCTGGGATTCTTCAGGTCTGGTCTCCATTTTAATTTATGTTAACAACTCCCCCGCTTTTGGTCACCCTTTCACTAAGCTAGGGAGAAGGTGATAGCATTCCTTTCAGTTACCACTAGTGAGGTATAGTCGCTGGAACAAGAGTCATGTGCTGTTATCCTTAACAGCTGTATTGGGTTTTACGGTTACATGGGCATCATTCCCTACATCACAGGCTTCAGTGATAGGGTTGTTGAGTTCTTCAGGTTAACTAATGATAATGGAAGTCACATGATGTGTGAGTGGCTTCTGGAAAGCTCTGAAATCCTTGAGAGGATAAGATAAACTAGGATGGTAAATAAAATGACTATAAAGAGAATAATACCAAAGGAATTTTAAATTCCCTGGAGCAGAGATTTCCCAGGAGCCAATATTTAACCAATAAAATCAATCAATCAATAAAATAAAAAAATAAAGCCAATATTTAACCAATAAATGCTGTTGGAGGAGGCAACACCTGTCTGATAAAAGACATATTTGTTCCTTAGGATCCTTTAAATTAGGGTCAACAATTTCTAATTTATTAACATAGAAATTATATATATTTATGTATATATATATAATTTATTTATTTTTTACCAATAAGAGTCTCCCTGTTAAGTTGCTAAGGTATCAAGGACTTCTATTTTGGAGTATTATTGAGGTCAAACTGTTTATTTCAGATTGTATTGCTTGAAGGGAATTCAAGGTAGCATTCTATGAAAACAAAAGAAAAGAAAGATTAATATTAGGAACAAATTATGATCTTAGTCTTTAAGCCTGGAGGGCAGCCAGTCAAGATTTCTAAATTTGAGTTTGAAGAATTTTTAGATGGTGGAGTGAGAATGGCAATTGCAACCTGATGGATTTTCCTGGTTTGCAGTTTGAATGTCTCTGGTAATGTCATCGGGTGTTCTGGTGAACTCTCCAAGTGACCCACATAGCAGCAGGCATGGAAAGTTTCCATACATGGTCTGTTGTAGTCATTTTTCTGAAGACTTTTACAAGACTTATGAAGACTCTTTCTTGAAGTCATCCAATTTCAGCTGGCAGGGCTTCAGGAAAAGGCAGTTTTAGTTTCTAGTGAAACTAGAAAACTTTAGAATTCAATACAATTTACAAGGGAATCATAAAGACCAGAATTTGATGATGGGTGCCCTATAGTTTTCTATTGAAATACAATCTTTTGTATAGTTGTTCCCAACTTTTCCAAAAATAAGCATGGTTAACTCTTCTTTTTGTGCAAAATCAGTAGTCTCATTAAACTTGATCTGATTTAAGAAAAGTGATTCTATATACACATATTTTAAAAATACATTATTTTAGTCAAAGTTTTGGTAATATCCAAGGGGCTTTATTGACTTTGTATAAGTCAATCTTAGTTATTTATTCATTTTATTGTTTGTTTTGCTATTTGGTAACAAGGAATCTCAGATTAGACCTTTAAAAACCTCTCAAAGCTAAGAAGCCACATCAAGGACTTGCCCAATTATGTCCTGTTACAAGAACAGATTCTTATTAAACCTGTAAATATCTATATTGCCATGAAAGTAAGAAAATTCAATAAGAGCATCCAAATTATGGGGTGATCAGGTAGAGAGAAAAAAATGTTTTATTTTTGTTTACAAAAGTATATTTTATCAAATTGTTGTAAGTTATAGACAGCTTGAGAGAAAAGATGAAAAAGAAGTTTTCCTAAATCTGGAAAGCAAGACATTAAAGAACCAGCAATGTCTCAAACAAAAAAGTTATAAAAATTATAATTATTCTCATCAGTTAATTTAGTCTCACATAATTAATTTTTGTCTTGTTTGGTCTTGGGTTAGCAGATTTATAAATACATTACTTTTCCATTAGAAGTCTGGACATTCTTACCTAGCCTGATAGTATGATCTTAAAGTTATAAGAAGCCTGTATTCGTCTGCCTTTATCATGAATCTCTTACAAGCCTGTGTCATGCAACTGACAAGGAAGTTCGGTTGCTTTTATAACTTATAACATTTTAACATAATTAAAATTATGAATAAAGTTATACCAGTACATATCAAATTTCTGGGAATTTTACATAATTTCTGGAACATTCATCAATAGCAAACGTAACTTAAAGAAGGATTCCCATCACACATTATTTGACGTTGCTTCTCATGCACTTTAATACATCAAATAAGCCTCATTAGTTTAACATGTGTCTTTTTATAAGAAGAGAAGATAAATTCTTTTGAGATATTCCAGGGACACTTTGGGACACCCCAAATTTCATTTGAGGTCAAAAAGACCCATATGGCCTGCCTAGTTCTAGGAGTAAGGTTGTGTCGGTTGTGTCTATGCCAGTGTGTGTCTATGCCTATGGCGATGTTCAGATAGCGTGAGCCCGAATTAATTACCACACACAGGAACCAAAGTAAAGTGTTCCCAAGCCATCTATCCCCAACCAATGTCCCCACTTACTACTGCAGCCTCTTACACACTTTTACAACACACTCCGAAAAGTACACATGACAGTAATCCCAAAAACACCAAATACCACATTATTTCATGTTGAACAGTCTTGTTAGTGCATGAGTGTGTGCGCAGCACGCGTGGTATTGTACACAAATTACAATTTCCTTCTACACTGTAATGAACGTGGAGTGTGATAAAAATAACCATGGAATACTGAGTTAAAGCTATTAACTATTTTATCTAAATTAGACCTCGGTTTGTCGTGTCCCCAAGCGCCCGACAGAACTGAACAGCGAGAACCCCAGAACCCTTTCCAATGGGGAAGAGCAGAGGCACCACAGCCAGGGACCCTCTGCTCTCTCCTGCACTCACTGTACCTTGACCGTCTTCCTTGGTGCTTGCAGACGTGTGTCATAGTGGATTTTTTAAGTCAGATCGTGCATTTGGAGCAAACTTTGTACAGTACGTGGGAGTAAATGTTTCAATAGGTTGAGTTCAGATCGTGAGACAAATCTGCATTTTCCATGTTGAAAAGTTATGCAAGAGCTAGCAGATACAGAGAGAAGTGAGATTGAATTTCAATTATACAGAAACAAGGTCGAAAAGAAGGGACCTCAGGTAAAAGAGTAAAAGCACATTTGCAACTTCAATGGCTGGTCACAGGAGTATCTGACTCTGGAATTCCCAAACTTCTCTGCGCCTTAGAATTACCTAAGTAATATTTTTTTTAATGTCAAAGCCCAGGCCACACCCAGACCAATTAAATTAGGCACCCTGGGGTGGAATCAGGCATCTGCATTTCTGAAGCTCCTTAGATGATCCCAGCGTGCAGAGGAGTCTGGGAATGACTAGTCTAATTTAATTTCCACGATATGCGTGTGAAGTGGTGGCCACTATCCACTTTGATTCCCTTCGGGTTCCTCAGTGAATTTGTGCATCAGGATCCCAGGCTGCCCAGTCCAGCTCTCCTTCCACTGAACGTGCCGCTGTCCCGCAGGACAGGAAGCAGAGCCAGGGTGCTGCCCACCTAGCACTTAAAGGGCTCTAAGGGCGCGTAGCCGAGTCGAGCCGACTGATTACGCTCCGGGTGATGGACAGGCTGCCCCTGCCCCCTGCTGGTCAGACACTGCTATTGCCGCCAGCTTGCACACGTGTGCGCGCATTTGCAGCCACCTGAAGTTTCTCCTTGATTCTTCCCTCACTTCCTCTCTGCAGTGTCGCCAGAACACCTTCCCACAGTCTGCTCTTTGTGGCCCTCCTGACTGACTCTGCCGTGCGACAAGGGAGTCCTCCCTTACCAGCAGACAGTGAAGATGGAGTCCACGTTTCTCGGCCTCCACGCACAGCCAGGGTCTCAGACCCCGCAGGGGTGCAGACTGTGCTCTGCAGGTGGTCCTTCAGTCCGGTGGGGGAGCCCTGGTTGAATCCCCAGGAATAGAAGCTCCAGAGGAAGGTCCCCAATCAGTCTGTGGTCCCCAGTCCTGAGAAGGGTTGCCTCTCCCTGGAAGAGCCTGGGGCTCATTGCTATGCGGGAGCAGGGCCCTGGGAGGTGTCCAGGAAATGTGAGACTTGAAGTCGCCGTCCGGGAATGGAGCACTCTGTGGCCCTGTTAGAGGAAACAGCCCCGGGGGGTGGGGAGGCAATTGCTTCCAGAGTCTATTCTGTTGACTCTTCTAGGGAATGTACCTTCTTTCCTGGCCCCAAGATTCAGGACATGAGAAGAATCTGGAAGAAACCGAGCCCACAAGGGTCCCAGGAGGGTATTCTATATGCCCACTGACCAACTCCAGATGCTACACGCTCCAGGGGACTCAGATTCCCTGTCCGTAAAATGGGGATTCTCTCCCATGAACTCTCTGAGGTGAATAGCTCTGGATAAACGTCAGTGGCCTTCTTTTAGATGTCTTTTTTCCCCCTTCTTGGGTCTTCCTGCCTGGGGCCCTCTGCCCTGGATCCCCTGCAGAGATCCCCACCAGCTCAGGAAAACACTCAGGGGTGGGTGTCTCTGAGCTGAATGGGCCTGAGTTCCTTTCCCAATACCTCCCTGTACACACACACATGCACATGCATGCACACATGTGTGTGCAATCAAGCTAATTAGAGCGGGGCCTTGATTGAGTCAGGACTCTTTGCACTCCTCCACATGCCCTCTACAGTGTAGCACTAATTCTGTGTCCTCTGGGATCAGGGCCAGATGCAGCAGGTGTAACCCACAGATGCAGCAGGTGAAACCTGTGGGTGGAGGAGACTGGTGGGTGGGTGGTCTTGCTATCATCTAGGTGGAAAGAGACAAAGATTGAGCAGAGGAAGCTGAAAAAGATCTGGAGGGTTTGGTGACAAAGGAAAACATCTGGAGGGTCTGGTGACAATGGATTTGAAAGCTATTTGTCACTTTCAAGTTCCACACAAATTTGGGACAGACATCATAAGATTCTAGCACCATTGTCTCAAGTTTCATATCTGTCAAAATTTTACAATATTCTACAAAAGACAAATACAAGTACCTTGCATTGTTTTATTAAGTTTAGAATTTTTCTTTACCTTTTTTTTTCCATTTTGGTCATTGTTGGGTTCAAGCTCCAGCTGAGGTCCAAGGGGAGTGGGTGGACAGGGGGCAGGGAGCTGGAAGAATACTCAAGAGACAGCAGTTAGATGAGACATGGCTTTATTTATCAGCTCCTCACTGTTGGTACCGCATTTATGCATCTCACAAACAGTAGTTGCCCCAAACCAGGTAATGAGCCTCTCCATGTTATGGCTACATAGCTGTGTTTACATTATGCACAGGACTGTGCACTTGCACTGCAATCCTGCTAGTCATGTAGGATGTTTACCTTGGCCTGTGCCTGCTTGGCTGCAGCACAGCCATGCTCCTTGCAATCAACATAAAGGTTAAAAGCATTTGTTTGGGGAAACTCAGGCAATTTTTTTTTTTTTAGAGACAAACTCTCCCTCATCCAGGTTGGAGTGCAGTGCTACAATCTTGACTCACTGCAACCTCCGCCTCCTGAGTTCAAGTGATTCTCCTGCCTCAGCCTTCCAAGTGGCTGGGAGTACAGGCATGCACCACCACGCCCAGCTAATTTGTGTATTTTTAGTAGAGAAAGGGTTTCACCATGTTAGCCAGGCTGGTCTCGAACTCCTGACCTCAGGTGATCCACCCACCTCAGCCTCCCAAAGTGCTGGGATTACAAGCATGAGTCGCTGCTCCTGGCCCCAGGTAATCATTTAATGAACTGAACTTTGCCCCTTACTTCGACTCTGTAAGTGTGCTACACCTGTAGCTCCTTGGCAGTGAGGTTGTGAAAGTAAGTCCAACACACACAAGATAAAGACCCATCATTCTTACAGTTAGCTTAATACCAGGCGAGGCTCTCCACTTCTCTCTAATGCTCCTTTCCCTCTCTAGGCTGCCATCTACTAAGGTATGAAGTCCTCTCTAGGCCCAGGTCATGGAGCCCGTGCTCCACCTGTTGTTGTCTCCTCCGATCCAGCCTCCAGACCCCACCAGGCCAGCCATGACTCTGGCTACCTGATCATCTTCACTCTTAAACACAAGAAAAATCTTTCAGGTTTTGCATATCAGGAGTTTTATGACTTCAGGATCTCTGTCCCTTAAGAAACTCATGAATTTATCTTTTATAGTTTCTACCATGCCAGTGTTGGGCGGGGGGAGAGTAAAAATCCTCACCTCCCAAGGACATGTTTCAGGAAATAAGGAAATGATACCATCTATTATCGGATCCTGACATTTCATTGAGGCCCTGGCCTGCTGATCTTGGGAACAGGACACAGGCGCACACCAGCCCAGGCCTTACGTTCACTCTTCTTACTTCATTCAGCTCCTCTCTTTCATCTCCTCCAGCTCAGAGAATCTTTATTTAGTTTAGGGTGTTGAGGGTAAGACTAGAAGAGCTGTTTCTCTTGGATCACACATGTATGAGAAAATTTCTACTCAGTGTGTTGAGCTACAATTAAGTTTTTGCATTACACCGGGATCCTTTCACATGCCTTTACAATCAGTACCCTTCTCCCAAATGTCTTTTGACATGTGAACAGATAAACAGAGAGCAGTACATCACACAATGGTGCGTTACTCAGCAGTAAAAAAGAGAAATGGTCTATGATACACCAACCACATGAATGAATCTCCAAAACCTTAGGCCAAGCAAAAGATAAGACATATCAAAGAATGTACACTGTATGACTCCATGTATATGAAAATTTATTACAGGCAAAGATCTTCTCCAGCGTTTTTATCTAAAAGTTTTCTAGTTTGGACTTTCACCTTTAGGACTGTGATTCATTTAGAATTAAGTTTTCTGTATGGATATCTGGTTGTCCTAGCACCACTTGTTGAAAATGCTTTGCTTTTGTCTATTGAATTGCTTTGGTGGCTTTGTTGAAAATCAGTTGCCCTTATATATGTGGGTCTATTTCTGGACTATCCTGTTTTGTTTATTTAACTATGTATCCATACTGCAGTAGCACACTGTCTTGATTACTGTGATTTTATAGTAAGTCCTGAAATCAGAGGTGAGTCATCCAGCTTTGTTCTTCTTTTTCAAATTGTCTTGGCTACTCTGTGTCCTGTACATATAGTAAGTTTCAGAATCCTCTTGTCAATTTCAACAAAAAAGCCTATTAGGTTTGTGTCTGTGACACAACCTAGTATTGAGTTTATATATCAGTTTGGCGAGAATTAGCATCTTAACAATATTGAGTCTCCCAGTTCAAGATCATAGTATTTCTCTCCACTTATTTAGATTTTCTTTAATTTAGCTCATCAATATTTTGTAGTGTTGAATGTATAGGTCTTGCACATATTTTGTTAAATTCATCTCTAAGTATTTAATGGTTTAGGATGTTGTTTTAAGTGTCATTTGAAATTTTTCGTTTGTCAATGGTACACTGCAATTATAGAGATAGTCCCTTTCAGTTTTATGTATTGACCTTGTACCCTGAAACACTGCTCAATTTCAGTATTGGTTGTTTCAGCTTTTTGTGTAGATCACTTAGGATTTAATGTATATACAATCGTGTTGTCTGTGAATAATGACAGTTTTCCTTCTTCCTTCACAATCTGCATGCACTTTGTTTCTTTTTATTGCCTTATCAAGTAATTAAACCTCCAGAACAATATTAAATAAAGGTGCTGAGAGAGATAGCCCTGCCTTTTCTCCTAACTTAGATGCAAATAATGGAGTCTTTCATCATAAAGGGTCACATTGACTATAGGTAATTTGCAGAGACACTTTATCAGGAAATGGAAGTTCTCTTACTTTCCTAGTTTGCTTCTAAGTCTAACTTTTTCTACATTTTTTGATGTGACCTTATGGTTTTTCTTTCTTTTTAATATCAAGAATTACACTGATTGTTCAAATGTTAATCCAACCTGGAGTTCCTGGGATAAACCCCATCTGACCATGGTATAATATCTTTTTTCTATACTGTTAAATCCAGTACACTAATATTGTGCTCAGGATGTTCATAAGGGATATTGGTCTATCGTTTTTCTTTCTTCTAATTCCTTTTTCTGCTTTTTGCATCAGGCTGATTTGAGCCTTACAAAATGAATTGAGACATGTTTCTAGTTTTCTTAGAGTGTAAGTGTGATGTTAGTTTTTTCTTAAATATTTATGCCATTTTGTCTTGCTAAAAACTACATTTCTCTTGAAGTTGGTGGCCAGGATTGCTTCGCCGGCAAATTCTATCAAATATTTCTTTATCTGAAATGGTTATTTTTGTTTAAATGGATTATCGTTTATTTGACATGTTTAACTTCAAATTGACTGTCACAATACTCTATTTCTGCATAGGGTTTACTTTTATTGTAAGTTTATTAGGATTTCTTTACCTGTTTATTAACTTTCTGCCTCCTTTATGCCTTCCCCATCCTACCAAACACCCCTCTCTGAATATAAGCTCCATGAGAGGAGAAAACATGCCTGTGCTCTCTGTCTATTCCATGTGTCTAGAATGGCAGACTTGCAACAAGCATCTGTTGAATGAATTGTAAGAAGGAAGGAAGAAACTCTCATTTTGTTCCCGTGGTTTTTCAGCTAATATGCTTGAGTTTTCAGAAGCTGGAAGAAACAAGGCATAGATTCTCCTCTAGTACCATGGGGACCGTGCAGCCCTGCCAACACCTTGATCACAGACTTCTGGCCTCCAGGCTGTGACAGGATAAATTTCTGCTATGGCACCCAGTTTGTGATCATTTGTTACATAGACTTGGGAAACAGATACACCAACTAATTAATATTTCAATTGTTTTGTAATTATAGAATTATATTAATTCATAGGTTTTCTCATATATTTCATTTTTGTAATTTTCACTAATTTTCATATTTTACTAAAAAAATATAGCTGTATTCCTTTTAAAAATATTCTTCCAGCAGCATATTTATTGATTACATTTAATTTACACTTTTTCACCTTTCTTGATGGACATTCTTACTCTTCGGTATTTGTTCATGTTATATATTTTATCTGTAGACATACTA